GTCCTTTATTGTCAGTTGTCGTCCGCGGCGTGAGGCGATCGCGGAGGCGGCAGCGCGTTGGGTGTGGGTTGTAGCGACGGGGGTGAGGAAATGCACCCGCGCGAGGAGGGATCTCGCCATCTCTCTTCTGCCGCGGGACCGTGGTCTCGTGTCTAGCGTGTGCATTCGGCCAGAGGCTCTCAATGGATTGTCTCAAGAAGGATCAATTGTTAAGTCCGCTTAGGTTTCAAGCGGCTTGCAGGTTGTAGGGGTTATTACGGGGGGACTTGAAATGAGCTGTGGGTACAGTGCGATCTGCACACTCAGGCCCAACTGCCCTGAACTACGACAGAGGGAGGGGCGGATCGAAGCCTCCATCACTCCCTTCAAAGTGTTTTCAGGGAGGGTGGCAAGGGGGCAGGTGTCTGAGTGGGGTGTGACTCAGCGAGGGCTGTCAGCCGTGATTGGCGGATGAGGGGGAGGGGGGATGGTGATGGGCATGGTGATGGGCATGGTGATGGTGGGGGTGGGGGTGGGGGTGGTGATGGTGATGGGCATGGTGATGGGCATGGTGATGGTGGTGATGGGCATGGTGATGGGCATGGTGGTGGTGGTGGGCATGGTGATGGTGGGGGTGGGGGTGGGGGTGGTGATGGTGATGGGCATGGTGATGGTGATGGTGGTGGGCATGGTGGTGGTGATGGTGATGGTGATGGTGGTGGGCATGGTGGTGGTGATGGTGATGGTGATGGTGGTGGGCATGGTGGTGGTGATGGTGATGGTGATGGTGATGTGATGATACTGATGACAATGAGCATGATGATGGGTATGATATGATAGTAATGGTGACGGTGCTCATGATATACACAACTCCCACCATCACAGTCAACCCCCTCCCCCCCCCCCCCCCCCCCTTTTGCCCCACTTGTCCCGCTGCGGCTATCAAGTGGCTGGTCACCGGTGGCTGCTGCCAGACCGTACAGACACCGGCACCGACACCCAACTCAGCCACCCCTCTCACAACCACCCACTCCGCCCCCCCAGCCCACCCCACACCTCCGCACATACCACCCAACTACCCATACCACCTATAACCATGGGCAAGAACAAGTCTTCCAAGGCCAAGGCCAAGGCCAAGCCCAAGGCCAAGCCCAAGGCCAAGTCCAAGGCCAAGTCCAAGGCCAGCCGCCGCAAGTCGTCGTCGGCCGCATCATCTTCAGCCGCATCATCATCGTCAGCCGCATCATCATCATCATCGGCTGGATCGTCTTCGTCCGTCTCGTCGCTGGCGTACTCGTCGGGAAGCCATCTGTTTCCGCGCCCGCCGAAGCATCTGTCCAACGAGATCCGCAAGGAGTTGTGGGAGCTGGCCCTGCAGGTCGAAGCCCTCGAGTCGGCTCTGGACGATAACGCCACTCAGGTCCAAGCCCAGCTGGATGCGCTCAACGCCAGGGTTGGCACGCTCTTCTCTTCACTCGACAACGAGTCCGAGAGCGGTAGTGATGGCTCGGCTGGTCCGCGGCGGCCCCAATCCAAGGGCAAGGTCAAGGGTAAGAGCAAGGGCAAGGGCAAGGGCAAGGGCAAGGGCAAGGGCAAGGGCAAGGGCAAGGGCAAGGGAAAGGGCAAGGGAAAGGGCAAGGGCAAGGGCAAGGGAAAGGGCAAGGGAAAGGGCAAGGGCAAGGGCAAGGGCAAGGGAAAAGGCAAGGGCAAGGGCAAGGGAAAGGACAAGGGCAAGGGCAAGGCGAGCTCGTCCGATGACGGCTCGGAGTCGCCCATGCCGGCCATCAACGCAGACTACCTCGGCGACTTTAAGGGCCGCAAAGCTCCCAAGTTCTCGGACAACTCGGAAAGCTCCGAGCCGATTTCAGGCCTCTCCGATCAGCCATGGCGCGGCCACACCAAAGACAAGGCAAAGTCCAAGGCCAAATCCAAGTCCAAGGCCAGGAGCCGCAGGTAAGCCGCGAGCAAGAGCCTTCAATTGCTGTCACAGGCTACATGCTCTTGGCCACCAAGTTGTTGCCATTGACGACGTGGTGGTGGATGATGGCCCACGGCATGGGCGCGCGCGCAAATTTGAGCGCCGGAGCAATGCGGCAGAGGTTAAAGATGAGCCAGGCGAGTGAGACCATGGCGATAAACGAGCCGACCTCCATGTAGCGGTCGACGTTCTGCAGGATCCAGACGATCGAGCCAACAGTAGTGGCGGTGGTGAGTGCAATCCAGGCCATGACGAGGCGGAACAGTCCGCGCTTGGGCACCTGCTTCGAGTTGCGGAGGAGGGCCCAGCGGAGCTCAAAGCGGAAAAGTTGTCGAGGAACCATGCGACGTCACTGTCGACCACCGAGGTTGTCGAGCCGGGCGCAAGAACCATCTCACCAGTCACTGGGTCGAGTGCAGGCTGTCCGGTGGCGTGGAGGTCGAGCCCGTCGCGGATGCGCTCATGAACGAGTGTGGTGATGGGGTAAAAGACGAATGAGAGCGCGGCCAGGGCCACGTATACGGCGCAGCCCGGACCAAGCAGCGCTGAGATGGTGTGCCGGACCTTGGCCGGCTGGTCTTCGTTGGCGTGGAAGCCGACCGAGTCCATGATAAACAGCGGGAGCGAGACCGACATGACCGAGGTCAACGCGTTGAAGACCTGGACCATGTTGGCGTACTGCGCCTCGCGGCGGACGCCGGTCCGCAGCTCGTCGTACTCGATGATGTCCGCAAGCAGCGACTGGAAGAGAAAGTTGTACGCGTTGAGCGAGAGGCCCGACGCTCCGGCGCAAAACGAGACTAACACCGCGGCCACCTTGTCGCCTGACCGCACCAGCACAATCGTCGAGAACGCCACCACCGCCACGCCCATCGACAGCAAATACGTGCGCTTCTTGCCAACCCGCGCCGCCAGCCATGTCCAGAATGGAATAAACACAAAGGCGCCTGTCATATACGTCGTCATGATCGCAGCCTGCCAGAACGAGTCCAGCTCGAGCGAGTACTTGACCCAGTATGGAAGAATGACCAGGTAGTACGGCTGGCAGTTGAGAAAGGTGATGGTGATGAGGAGCGTGCCAAACGCCGGGTTCTGCAGCGTTCGGATCATCCCGGGAATCAGCGGCGTCGGCGTCTCCACCGAAAGTCCGACCGCTCTTTGACCGAGAACACCAGCGTGAGCATGGTGGCCACGCCGACCACGCCGGCGCCGGCGCCGAACCACATGTACACCTCGCGCCGCGACGAGGCCCAGTAGACGAGCGCCTCCGGCAGCGCGGTCGAGACCACTACCCCGAGCTGGTACAGAGTCTGCGTCACGCCAAAGAGCTTGTTCCGCTCGCGCGAGTCAAGCGTCAGCTCGATGCCCAGCGCCTGGTACGGCGAGAGATACAGCAGAGTCACCAGGTTGTTGAGCATGTACGAAGCACCGAACCAGATGGTAAGGATGAGCTGGGACGAGTCTACGATGGGGTACATGCCGAGAAAGACGATGAGCATGAGGAGCGGGCCAAAGATGGCGATAAAGGGACGACGGCGACCGAATCTTGTCTGTGCCGTGTCAGTGTACCAACCCAGCAGTGGATCGCCCACAAAGAGAAACAGCTGAAGGACAACAAAGGCAACATTGAGGTTCCGCAGAGGCACATTGTACGTATCCGAGTAGTATCGGAATTGATAGAGGTTCATAAAGTTGGTGCCAGCCGCAAAGGCAAACGATGGCAGGCAGTACAGCGCCATCTGTGACTTGCTCTATCTCACACAAACGTCCACCCACACCACCCATATCCACCACACACATACTGACCTCCATGAGTCACACCTCTATCTAATTTTCCTCTTCTTTATCACAACACATCCCACATGGCAGCCCCTCACAATCCCCCCCCCCCCCCCCCCCCCCCCGCCCTCCTAGTCTTCGGCTCGGTGTCACGTGACGGTCACCCGCCGTACTTCCCGCCCACCGCCGCCATGATGACATACCAAGCCACCTGATGCCACAGGATCATGGTGACTGCTCTTGATGCTGTCATGTGTCCGCTGGATCTGGGAAAACAGAAGCGGTGTCGACTCGACCTCTTCCACAGGCATGGCGAGTGGCGAGGCTCGAGAGTGAGGTGTCGTCCAAGGCCGTGGTAGGCGTAGTCCTTGGCTGGCTGGCTGACGGCAATGCTATTGGCTGGGAGTCACCAGGTGAACCAGATTACAGTGTTAGTGATGGCGGCTGCTGAGGCGGCAGACCAGAGAGCAGCATAGCATGGCAGAGTCTCAAACTCTTGCTAGGCGTTGATCTCGGCGAGGACGGTGTCGCCCTTGCTCCGCCTTCCGCCCTGGGCCCGCTTCGAGCTCTTGGCAGGTGACACCTCGGCTCGCTTGGCATCAACAGCGTCGACGTCGTCCTTGCCCTCATCCTGGGCATCCTCGTCGCCGTGGTCCGAGGCCTTGGACTCAGCATCGTGAACCTCAGTCTCGGCTTCGGCTTCGGCCTCGGCCTCGGCCTCGGCCTCAGGCTCGACCTCGGGCGTCAGTCGCGCAACTACCTTGGCTGCTGTCCGCGCCGCAACGTTGCAATCCGAGTCGGCCAGCTCCTCGACAACCGTGGCGGCGAGGGTGGCCAGCTCGGCGGAAGGGTGGGCATCGAGCAGGTTGATGGCGCGGGCGAGGTCCTTGATGCAGGCCTTGGCCCGGCGGACGTTGGTGACAGCAAACTCCTTGGAGGAGAGCCACTCGAGAACGGTGTTGAGCCATGCGTCGGCAAGAACCGAGTGCAAGTCGCGGACTGAGTTGGCCTCAAGGCCAGCGCCCAGCAGCGAGAGACCAAACTGGAGGACGGTGTAGAGCGAGATCGACTTGGCCGGGTCCGAGCGGGTGGCAGAGAAGAGCCGAGCCATGGCGCCGTCAACGGCGGCACGGAGAACGGCCTTGCCGGCCGCAGAGCCAGCAAAGTGCGGGAAGAAGACCGAGAGGCACTGCCGGACTTCAAAGTCAGTCTCTGTGACCGGCGAGAAGAACAGCTCGACCATTTGGGCGCCAACGCTTGCGGCGGCGTCGGCCGGGATCCGGGCAAAGAGAAGCAGCCGCGCAAAGCCGCGGACAGCGGCGCCGCGCAGCTTGACGCTCTCCTCATCGAGGTAGGGGCGGACGAGGTCAATCACTGCCACAGCGCCGGCGCTCGCATCGGCCGCAGCCTCGTCGGCCTCATCATCCGACTCAACATCGTCCATAAACTCGAGCTGCGCGCCAAACTTGAGCATGCCGTCACAGAGCGCCTCGAGGGCAACGCGCTGCAGCGCAGGCATGTCGTTGCGGAGGACTTGGGCAAAGAGGAAGACCAGCGAGCCTGGGGCATCGTGGTAGAGGACGAGCGAGGTAGCGGCGGCACGGAGCGCAGCGGCGCGGACGGCCGGGACCGGGGAGGTCACCGACGGAAGGACCAGTGTGTCCTGCAGCGACCGCAGTAGCGGCGACTCCATGGTGGCTTCGGTAGCGCGGTAGAGCTCGTTGACGACGGCGAGGGCGCGGCAGTAGGCCGACTCGGTGTCGAGGGCGAGCTCGTCGGCGGACTTGCGGTTGGAGCGCACAAACTTGGCCTTGGCGCTGTCGACCTCAGTCTCAAACTCAACCTGGGCGGCGGCCTCGGCAAGAAGCAGCTCGTCGATGGTGGCCTTGGCGGCGGCGGCGCCGTCAAAGTCCTCGCAGCTGACTGCGGCGCGCTTGGCGTCTGCCGCCTCCTGCAACTTGACGTGGATGGAGGCGACGGTGAGCTTGAGCTTGCGCTCCTTCTCCTTGAGCTCGGGTGTGAGCTCAAACTCGGTCTCGAGCACCGCGTCTTGATCGCCGGTCTCCTCCACCGCCTCCATAAGGTCGCCGACAATGCCGGTGACGACGGTCAGCTGGCCGATCTCGTCACTGTGGACCGTGAACAGGAGCTGAGCGGCCGGGCCGAGGAGCGAGGCGGCGAAGAGTGACTCGTCGTGGTCGATTGTAGCGACAAAGAGCTGGCGGAGGAAGGAGGAGAGCATGCGGCGGCCGGCCTCGTCGGAAAAGTCAAGCTCCTTGCCGAGAATGAGCAGCTGCTTGGTCACAAAGACCATGGCCTCGTAGTTCTCTTCCAGCGCCTCGCGGACGTCGTCATCGGCCTCGGCGTCCGAATCCGAGCCGGACGAGTCACCTCCGAGTGCGCCGAGCTGCTGCGAGAGGGCGAGCGCTTGATTGTAGTACCCGCAAATGAGCGAGGTAAAGTCAGAGATGGAGGGCAGCAGCATCTCGTGGCTCGCCGCCAGCGCGCCGGCAGCCTTGCGTGGAGTGTTGAGCGCCCAGCTGGCAAGAACACGCCAGTAGAGGGCGGTCTCGGGAGTAAGGGCAAGAGCGTCGCCAAACTTGGCCAGCTGCTCCATCTCAAACGGCGGCTTGAAGACCACGTCGGCCGGGTTACCGTTGGTGGCGTCACGGGCAAAGAGCGCCGCAAGAGCCGGCACCAGCTTCTCCTCGTACTCGATGACGTCGAGGGCGTCGAGAAAGCCTGTCACATCACCCTCGAAGCACTCCTTGAGCCACCCAGTGTACATCATGGAGAGCGCGGCGTTGCGGACGGCGTCGTCGCGGTCGCGAAGGCCCGAGTCGAGGAGCGTCACCCGCTGGGCAATGTTGAGCCCACGCATGTCGACCTTGGCAGCGAGAACGGCGTAGGCAGCCTTGCGGACCTTGGCGTCAACATCGCGAGTCCGCTCGATGACAAGCGGGAGCGTCGACGGCGCAAGTGCGAGCTTGTGGAGGACGGCGGCGCGGACGTGCTTGGACGAGTCGGCCTGGAGGAGGGCGACAAAGCGGGAGAGGATGGGATCGTCAAAGCCTGAGGCGTCCATAAACTCTGAGGCGTGCTTGCGGCGCTTGAGCGGAGTGTCGAGCGAGGGGACTATGGCCTCCTCATCGGCGTCAAACTCATCGCCCTCGTCCTCGGGCAGGATCTGCATGCGCTCGAGGGCGACGACGGCGGCAGCGCGGACGGCCGGGATGCGGTCGATGAGCCTGTCGGCCATGGCCTGTGTGATCTCGGCCCAGAAATCCTCGTCGATCTCAGCCTCCTCGGTGAGGGTGTTGATGAGGGTGCCCACGATGTGGGTGACCCGCTGGCGGACGTGCGAGGCGGCGGCTGTGGAGAGCGGGAGAAAGCGCGCCAAAATGGCGAGGACGAGGCCATCGTTGCCGAGCTCGGCGAGGAAGAGCGAGAGCCACTGAACCAGCCGCTCCACGGCAGGCTCCTTGGTCTTCACGGCTACGACCGAGCCGAGCACGTCTACAAGCACTTCGTACAGCACACTCGCTTCGGCTTGGCCCTCGGCCGCCCCGCCGTCCACCGCCAAATGTTCAAATTTAGCCGTCAACTCCAGTGCCGCCAGGACGTTCTTGGCATGCACCGCCCGCGACCGCTGCACCGCACGGAGAATGCTCAGCAGTGGAGTTGTAAGCTCTGTGTGCTGGATGTACACCTCAGCATGGTCCATGGTCTGGGTTCTCTGCACAAAGCTGACCACGAGCCGAGTGTGTCTTGCCCGCCCGCAGGTGGCTGCCGCCGGCTCGCTGGTCACCGGTGGCGCGATCGAGCGCGAGCCCACGAATCGAGCGCTCGTTTTCAGGACACCGCCCCGAGACGGTCCACTCGCAGCGGAGCGACCGATCCCGATTAGATGCCGGTCGGGAAGCTGGCGTCTGGCATCGTGACGGCTCATGGCGGGCCTCTTTCTTTTATTCTTCCCTCTACCGAACGAGGGGAGCAGAGGCTCGGGGAAGAGGGGGGTGGTGTGGCTTGGATGGTCTAGCGACGACGGCTGCCGCCGAGCGGGCGCTGCTCGCCAGTGTAGCCATGCTGGGGGGGCGGGGTCTCGCGGCGCGGCTGGCCGGAGGCCGCCGAGCCGGGGCGGTCGCCGGTCCAGGCGTTGCCTGATGCGGGCGAGTCTTGCTGGGCGGCGGTGCCACCCCAGAGGCCGCGAACGTCGGGGGTGGCCGACTGGGCGACGGCCGACTGGGCGAGGGCCGCCTGCATCTGCTGGTAGGGCGCATAGATCGGCTGCGCGGCGTAGTTCTGCTGGGCGTGGGCGGGCTGCTGGCCCTGGCCCTGGCCCTGTTGGGCCTCGGCGGCCTGCTGGGCGGGCGGGCCCTGGCCTGTGGCAGGGCCTGGCTGGCCCTGCTGATACTCCTCGCACCAATCGGGGTTGTTGCCCGAGTATGGGAGGGCATAGGCATTCGGCGTTGGCTGCATGGGCTGCTGGGCTGCTGGGCCGGCGCGGGCCGGGTCGTAGCCTCCGTAAGCGGCAGGCGGGTACGAGGGCGGGCCCTGCGGCGGCATGTAGCGCGAGTAGTCGTAGCCGGCGGCCGGGTCGTAGCCAGCGGCGCTGCCCATGTCGTAGCCGGCAGCGCTGTACATGGGCGCGCCCGCGGCATGACCGCTGCCATACATGTCGGGCGGGGCGCCGAGAGAGGTTGGACCCGACGTCGCCAGATCATACGTGGCCTGGTACGAGTGCGGCGGGCCTGCAGGTGCGCCGTAGCCGCCGTGGGCGTAGTCGGGCATGTAGCCGCCGTCGTAACCGGCAGCCGCAGGCGGCTGCCAGGAGCCAGCGCCCATGTAGCCGCCACCGTAGTCAGCGGAGCCGCCGCCATACATGCCCGCCTGCGGGTACTGGGCAGGCATGCCGCCGTGCATGGGGTGCTGCGGGTGGCCCCCATGCATCGGGTGGTGGTGGTGCTGCTGCGGGTAGCCGCCGTGCATACCTGCACCGTGCGGTGGCATCATGCCGCTGGTGCTATCGGGCACCGGGCCGTCGGGCCCCTGCTGCTGCTGCTGCTGCTGCTGCTGCGACGCGGCCTGCGCAGCTTGCTGCTGCTCCTGAGAGTAGCGCTGGAACTGGTCCTCGGGCGGGACCATGTCAGGACGGCGGCGGTGGCGAACTTGCTGGACTGCGACGCCGTAGCCGGGCGTCTGGGTGTGCGCCGGCGCGACTTCTGCGGTCTGGGCCTGCACGGCCGACTCGGGAGTGGCTGCGGCGACGTCAGCGTACTGCGGGTGCATGCCGTTGGACCGGCCGTAGCCGCCGTGGGCCGGGTGCGGCTGCTGGTGCTGGGCCGGGTGCGGCTGCTGGTGCTGGTGCGGCGCGGGACCGCGTCCGGGCTGCTGGTCGTGCCGGATGGCCGACGAGCCGGCGGCCCAGAGCGACTGCGACTCACGGCGGCGGGCAGCACCCTCGGACTTGAGCGCGTCCTGGCCGGAAAGCGGCGGGAACGAGTCCGAGTTGGGGTTGCCGTTGCGGCGGTTACCGCCTGCGGCGCGCCGGCCGGCGGAGCCGCCAGCGCGCGGGTGGGCCGGCGGAGCGTGGATGTGCTCGCGCTCCTGGTTCTGGTGCGGCTGCTGGGCAGCAGGCGCAGCGCGGTCGCGCGACGCGTTGCTGTGGCTGCGGGCGGAGCGGGGGGCGTTGCTATCGCCGTCGCCGTCGTCCCTGCTGCCGCGGTTGCGGTCACCGTCGCGGCCACGGTTGCGGTCACCGTCGCGGCCACGGTTGCGGTCATCGCCACGGCTGCGGTCATCGCCACGATCGCGGTTGCGGTCATCGCCACGGTCACGGCGGCCACGCGGCTCGGAGCGCTGCTCGGGGTTGTCCAGCCAGTTCTGGAGCATGGGCGAGAGGCGCGAGCCGGAAGCCTCAAGAACCTCCTTGAGAGCGGCGAGCTTGTCGGTGTCGCGGTCGCGCGAGATGAGGGTGGCGTAGGTGAGGCGGCGCTTGGAGTGGTCGAGAGTGAACTTGGTGGTGGCGAGAGCGCGGCGGCGGTAGACATTCATGTTTGCCGGAAGCTCGTAGGAGATGACGACGTCGTGGAACTTGATGGCAAAGCGGTTGTGGGCCATAAAGTTGATGAGCCAGTCGGTGCAAATAATGATGGAGAGGTAGGGAAGCTTGGACGGCTTCTTGTTGAAGATCTTAAACGACTCGCGACGCTCAGCCTCGGGAGTGGACGGGAGGATGGTGCAGGCAAAGATCATTCGCTTCGAGTCGGCAAAGAGGCCCTGCATGTCGCTGAACAGCTGGGTGGCCTCGCTCGACGAGTTGCAGAAGATGACGGCCTTGGAGTAGTACGGGCGGTCCATCGACTCGAGCATGCGGTGGAGGACCTGGATCTGCGGGCGCCGCTCAGAGTACACCTCTGACCGCTGAAGAAGAACGCGCATGGCCTCGAGCTCGGCCTGCGGGTCGACACGCGCAACCCAGTTCTTCTTGCGCGAGTTCTTGCGCCGCGAGTCCGACTTGCGGTCGCCGCCGCTGCTGCCCTTCTTGACGTTGCCGTTGCCGCGGCTCTGGACCAGCGACGGCGGCGGCTGCTTGCGCTCACCGTTGGCGTTGCCGCTGGCGTTGGCATCGCTCTTCTTCTTGTTCTTGCGACCGCCACGCTTGCGCCGCTTCTTGGCGCCCGCAGCTGCGCCGTCACCGGCGTCAGTAGCGGCCGTGTCATTCGCCTTGGCCTTGGCGTCAGCGGCAGCCGGGGTGTTGTTCTCGCCGGCCGCGGCCTTGGCATTGGCCTCAGTCCTCTTCTTGTTCTTGCGGCCGCCGCGCTTGCGGCGCTTCTTGCCTGCCGCGCCATCGGCAGCATCGGCCGGCTTGCCTGCCGCACTGTTGGCAGCCTCAGCAGGCGTGTCCTTGGCGTCGGCAGCAGAGGCAACCGGAGCGGCAGCAGGAGCATCGGCGGGCGTTGCAGCCTCGGATGTAGGAGCAGGGGAATCAGTCTTTGCCGGAGTATCAGCCGGTGCCGGAGTATCAGCCGGTGCCGGAGCATCAGCCGGTGCCGGAGCATCAGCCGGTGCTGGAGCATCAGCATTGGTCTTACCAGCAGCACCAGCCGAAGCGCTCGCCTTGCTCACCGAGGCACCGGTATCGTTCGTGGCCTTGTCTGCCGGTACAGCATCGGTCTTCTTCTCGGAACTAGACCCAAACCATCTTCCACAGTAAGTAATTTCCCACACCAGCAGCCAACCCCCTCATAGTAACCATTGCATGTAGGTGGCAGTGCGTGTGTGTCTGTGTGTGTGTGTGGGGGGGGGGGGGTTGTGTTGTGGCCAGGCAGTGAAAAATCTTCCTTTCTCAGCCGGAAAGTCGGCTTCAGTCACCACCACCACCATCAACGACCACAAATATAATAATGGTTGCCATCGAACAACTTCGAACAACATCGAACAACCAACGAGGTCATGTTGGAAGTCGGTAGAGTCCGGGGCAGGCAGCGGGAGTGGGCGGGAGGGGGGGTGGGGGAGGGGGGAAGGTTAGGGGTGGTAGGTAGTGGCGAGGTGGTGGTGGTGGTGGGTGTGTGTAAA